CCCGTTCATTGTCGTTTTTTTCATTAAAAGCAAATTCGAAATAATGAAAACGTGTTAATTTTGAGAACGGTTATGAGGAAAATTGATGCACTCCATTAATGTACATACATTAAAGCACATTGTATACATGACGTATACATGTGATTAGGTGACACGAATGTGTTACAAACGAGCGGATGAAACGGTGACAAAGAGGCCAATGAAGAGGAAACCCAAATTGAGTGTTAAATGGACATGTTTGTAAAGGGGAAAAAGGGGGAAGAAATGGATACTCAAAGGGAAGAGGAAAATGATTAAGGAGGAATCGCCCAGCATTGACCAGGGTTGAACATGGGCAGAGAGAGAGAAGCTGTATGGTTGTTTGACAGGGAATAAAGAAGGATAGACAGAGGATGATGATGTACGGGATGTAGGGGAATTGAATAGGGGTGGAAAAGGGAAAGTGGGGACTCAGTAGATGAATTGATACCAGTGACGACGCAAGTACTGCATTTGGTACCGGTATGATATACTCATAGTCGAATATACACGAAACGAGATTTGCCTTTGCTCAAATTTTGCGTCCGTCCGGCTTTCATGAATTCAGATAGAAAAAAAAGACTGAAATGAGTGCCAATCACAGAGGCCGAACGTCGACACTGTGACGTCAACCACCCTAGTAACATTATGTGGCCCAATCATGGGAGGTTTCACAGTCTCATGACGTCAAAAGTTTTCTTTTATTAGCTATACAGGTTATATAACCTATAAAATATCTTCCATGGATATGATGTCAGAGCTCTATAGGTGCCACCATGTTGAACCAAGATAATAATACAAAAAATCAGATATAACCTAATATTAGCCTCATTACACAAATTAATACTCCATGTTTGCAATTGTAAATTGCATTAAATTGCACTCACGCTATAGGAAAGCAATAAAGATGGAATTATATGTACGATAGTATCCGTTAAATCTAGCTAATATTTCTCTCTAACACTCATTTATATATTCTGTTTAATAATTCCTTTAAGGTATTCTTCTTCTTTTAGCATGTCCTTCATTCTCTCGCATTCTCAACCTCTGTCCCTGCAACACTTCTCTCGCGGTGAAGCGTCGAACCTATATTTCCCTACTTTCGTCTCCTGTTTCGTCGTGTATCAAATTATATTAAAACCTTTACTTTTACCCATCTCTTTTTATGGATCAAATTATCGGGTACCCGGGATCACAGGATTGCTACCAGCGTAAGTTTAATACAGTATATATGTGAATAGGTTTGGGTGGTTATAGGCATGAGCTGTCTCTTATGGGTCAATATGCGACCTGTAGATTCCGTTATTCTCCTGTTCTTGTGTTCTTTCATTTATTTTTCGCTCCACCCAGTGTATCTATCCCTTTATATATATATATATATATATATATATATATATATATATATATATATATATATATATATATATATATATATATATATATATATATATATATATATATATATATATCTTTATATACTTTTAGCTACGTGACCTGATCCTTTGTACTGATAAGCGGGCCTCTGTGCTTTAAGTGCCTTGAAATTCTTCAATTCCTTATCTTCGGAACATTCAATCTGTCACCTTTATTCACTTCATAAAATGTTAGATTTCTATTAATACTTCTTAACGTAAGACTTTATCTTTAACGGTTGGCTGAACAGAGCAAAAACTACTGACTCTACTTGGTGTTCACAATTTTATGGTAAATATTACTTTAACTAAATATGATTCCTCGCCTCTCTCTCTCTCTCTCTCTCTCTCTCTCTCTCTCTCTCTCTCTCTCTCTCTCTCTCTCTCTCTCTCACACACACACACACATATACACACCCTTCCCTCCCCGACCTTGGTCCTCGTGCTGGGAGTGAGAGAAGTGCTGATTCACTGCCAGCTGCCCCAGCGCCTGTCTCGCTACGTTTGCACCAATTGAAGCTAGAATTGTAGCTACCAGCCTGTCCTCTCATGCTGTAGCTGACCTTTGTGTGTGTTGTTTTTGCACCGATAGTGGTGGGATGGAGCCAGGGGAGGATGGGGGTGAGAGTTTGGTGAGCGGATTGTTTTTTTGTATAAAGTTGTGATAGACGGATGAATTTTTGTTAAAGGGTAGATGGGTTGGTTGTTTTTGGTGAAAGGTGGGTTTTGGATAAAGGGTTATTGTTGATAAATGGTGGGCAGGTGAGTGGATAAAGAGATGGTAAGTGTGTGGATTTGGATGAAATGTTAGTATGTGGGTGGGTAGGTGTATTGATTTTAGATAAAGTGGGGTAGGTGGGTGGATACGGAGCAGGTGGGTGAGCTGTTGAGGAAGGTTCAGAGGTAATTTTATGGAAGTTATTTGCTTTTGTAATTGAGTATATGAATTCAAGATAGAGTACCCGGCTGTGCCCGGGTCTTTCTCCACATCCACCATCCTTCTCTTTTTCCTCTTCTCTCCTAACATCCCCTTCTCCCTGCTAGGTTTCTTTCTTCCCCCTTCTACTTCCCATATTATATAGGAAGGAGAAGAGGGGGCATATTATATATATATATGTGTGTATATGTGTATATATATATATATATATATATATATATATATATATATATATATATATATATATATATATATATATATATATATATATATATATATATATATATATGCCGTACTTATACTAGCACTTTTGAGGAAAGTCATGTTTACAGCCATCACACATTCATCCACGATACATAACAAAGCCAAACGGATTTTTTGCAAATAAATATTCTATTTTTTTGTTTATGATGAAACCCTTTTTTGTTCTCAGTTTAACCTGTTTTTTTATGCACATGTGGAACAAGCCCATGTGGCAGGTGTGGCGGATGTGGCAATCAAGGCAGGTGTGACAAGTAAGACGTGAATGGTAGCTGTGACAATCAGTGGTAAATATGTTAGTGCGGCACGCAAGATAGATGTCATAGATGTTACAGATAGACGTAAGAGATGTGACAAGTGTTACAGGTGTGGCGTTCTCCTTACTTTCCAAATTTGCATTTATATATTGTCAATGTTTTAAGTTTTTTCTTTTATTTTTAGACACATTATTTTAGTCAACAAATTTACATTTTTATTGTGTTGAAGAGTACCAAATACATATAAAGTATTTTATAGATAAATATAAAACAGAAAGTATTTTATAAATATATATAAAGCAGTATCTAGGTGTCGCTTCTCGGAATAACATTAACTGTGCTCCACTTTCATTTTATTGGTGTTTGATTTCTCAATTCACATATTAATTATTTTTCAATTATAGAATCGATTGGTTTATTGTTTTTTTTGTTGATAGTGGCATGAAACTCTATGTATTTCTATCTCTAGTTAACTGGTATTATGAACATTAAGACGTTAATTATGAGTACAGTACAGGTATCTAGTTAGTACTCTCTAGTTAACTGGTATTATGATATGAGTACAGTATATCTTGAGGTTATCTTGAGATGATTTCGGGGCATTTTAGTGTCCCCGCGGCCCGGTCCTCGACCAGGCCTCCACCCCCAGGAAGCAGCCTGTGACAGCTGACTAACACCCAGGTACCTATTTTACTGCTAGGTAACAGGGGCAGTATCGTTATCCTTTATTTTTTGTTGTTGTTGTTTTTTTGCTTTTACGTGCTTCTGTTGGGTGTTTTTGTATTCTTTTGTGGAGTATTTTAATGTGTTTTTGAGGAGTATTCTGAAAGTTATCAACACACTCAGATTTTCATATTTTTGCATCAGATCATTATGTTGTACTACAGTAATTATTTATATAAATTTGGAAACCAAAATATTATTACGATGGATGGTTTGAGATTGTGAACCTTCTTGAGCTTCTCGAACACCAAATGGGTACTGAAAGTTTTCTCAGTGTGGAGGGTTTGGAAAGCTCTTATAGCACTTTTTTCTGTGAAGCCGAGAGTCTGAAGCTATTAGGACAAAGTAATATTGTTGGTTCAGTCCCCTATACCTGTTGAGTTCCTCTGCTTCCACGAGGTTGGGGCTCTATCTGTTTGACTGGTTTTTGCAGGTTCCAGTCAGGGTGAATACAGGTGTATTCTCGATTAGAATGCTTTAGATTCCTCCAGGAGAATAACGTTGTTTTCGTCTTGCCGATAAGTATGATTATCTTCATTTTGGGACATATAAAAATGTAATTTCCTCTCTATCTCTGAACTGGACACTGGACTCTGGTGTGTTTCCTTATGATGTCGTTGATGTCACTATTGTGACGTCAACACATTGAGGCTAGGTTTCATATATTGATTTCTTTGACCATACAACTATCAAAACATTTCTATTTAACCTGTTCAACTTCATGTCCCATAGAAAAGAAGTACTGTATTGTATCCCAGGAACATTTAATTAATACCACACAGTTTTAGATCTCAACGCAAAACAAATCAGGGGCAAATAGTTCCATTTTGTTTAATTTTCAAAATATCTTCTCTCTGTCGTGTGAAAATTTGTCTCGGTATAAAAATGGAACATATTTGAGTCATCGGGATACATATGCATCATAAATCATCCAATAGAGACAATTTAAAGTGGGAGTAATTTTTGTAGATTTCAGCTGACATGTAGTTGATCTTTGTAAGTTTCCAAATATTTATGGTGAAATTTGCAAGTAAGCATGAGGGAGGAGGCTCATGGGAGGGAATGTTGGAGTGCCAGCTCTTGTGATGGGAGGAGGCTCATGGGGAGTGAACGCTGTTTTGCCAGATTTAGTGATGGGAGGAGGGTCATGGGAGGAAACGCCGGAGTGCCAGATCCTGTGATTTATGGTTTCTGGCACAAGACCAGAGAAAGTATGATATGTTGTTCTTTAAGGCTTTTCTCATCCTTATCTCTTAATATGTGCCTCTTTTTTGTGTTTGTATCTTTGTTTTTCCTTCAATACTACACATGCTTTTTATACATAGACATATTTTATATGCAGTTATCACCGTTGACTCATTCCGCATCATTAATATGATCTTTGTCTTGCAGGTCAAAACAGGAGGCAGCACTCACAGACTCTGGACAACATGCAACTCCCTCTCTTTCTTGAAGATATAACTGGACGAACCTACATGTTTCACTCCTCATCAGACGTCGAGGAAATAGTAATTAATTTGAACGAAGAAGGCAATGAACAGAAATTCAAAAACCATTAGAAGACATCATAAGCCTCCGAACATCTACGAAGAAGACTCTTCAAGAAACTCTTCAAGAAGATCAACTCTCTTTTTTCCTTAATCCTATATTTCTTACATCCTGTTTTGGTTCCCTGGTGCCAAGCAGTGAGTTGTGGCTCCGTGTCTAAACTGAAAATTCAAAATCTTAGCTGACTCAGTTTACTTGTTTAATAATGTCAAAGTTTAATAATACCAATTTCAGACTATCTCATAGAAAACTTAAGATTGAATGCATTTCTGATTCATTCTGAGTTCAGTATCAATATGCATGACTTATCAATTAAATATAATATTCCAAACGACCTGGAGACTAGGTATTGATAAAATTATTAAAAAAATATTGATAACTGATTGAAATATTAATATAACTCATAATAAATCTTCTATAATAACTATCAGAAAGTCCTCTAATTATTAGCATAACGTTTTAAAAGTACTGTAGATATGATATGAAACAAATGTAGTAATTTCAGTGTGATACTTAAATAATTAATTTATATAAAACAATCAAGGAACGATATATTCATTACAGTCAATATATTCATTACAGTCAATATTTCAATAAACAGAAATAAATTTCAGTTCAATAGAAAAAGTCTATTCTGCATATATGACCTTAATTTGTAGCCATATATCTGTGAGAAAATCATTAACATATATATACTAGTAAGTTCAAGATTATCAATGAGTGTTGGTTTAGTAAACGGAAGCAAGCACAGTCATGCTGACCACCACCTGGCTCTAACAATCCTCCCGCTTCCGTTCCTTTAACCCCTAAGTTAATGCTCTACATCTACCCTGTAGATCCGAATTTGTGAGATAATTGTTAACAAATTCGGTTCTAGAGAGGTTTGTGTGGGGCATACATGGCAACTGTCTAACAAACCTGCATGGGGCATACATGGCAACTAACAAAACTGAATGGGGCATATATGACAACTGTCTAACAAACCTGTGTGGGGCATATATATGGTAATGGTCTACCAAACCTGTGTGGGGGCATATTTGGCAACTATCTAACAAACCTGTATGGTGTTTACATGGCAACTGTATAACAAACCTGCATAGGGGAATGCATGGATATTATCTAACAGTGTACTGGGCTTCATGGGAGTATTGTTGTTGTAGTAGTATATACTAATATTCTAAAAATAATAATGGCTTCATGGCAACTAACATTAACAATATCTAACACTAGGCATGGCAACTATGTGATATTGCAGTTGTCTAGCAGGGCTTTGGATTACATGTTAACTACTGTGTGAGAGCATGGACCTACACAGGTCAAACCTAACTATTGTACATACAACAGGAAGTTTAAACAGTAAATACAATAAGACAAAACTGTATATATCTGCCAGTTAAAAAAATAAACAAAATTTTATGTTTCGGAGATGAGTGTCAATATTTCCATTCTTGTGTTTGTTAATTGTAAATGGCTACTCATTTAGCCTGCCTAATAGGCTTATTTAGGACCCCTAGGCCAACTACTGTCCTTCTAAAGGACGCAACCTATAATATTTGCTTATCTTATTGGTACCTATTCACAGGTGCATCAGGTGTAAGGAAACTTGTACAAGCGCATCATCCTCTACGGGAATCGAGCCCGGGACGTCTAGGATGTGAATGGACTGTAATGATCACTGCATAAATTATACCACACTTACTGTTTTCCAATACAAAAATGTAGTTTCCTTTCAATAAATCATGAATATACAGTACATATGATACCTTTGTAATGGAGCTGTAATTTAGCTACAGATATGGCCATGTTCAGCTGCTATGTATACCGTTGCAAACCAGGAAATACTTTATACAACAAACCTTGCAAATGTTACTTGGTACCTCAGTGGGCCTCACTCTTCCCAGTTTTGTTGAACACATCACAGGAGTGCAGGCAACCACATAGAGAAACAGCTGGAGAAGATTAAGCATATCTACAGAGCACCCTTCGCTCCAGTATGTGTGTATCTACCAGCCCATCCTTCTAAAATGATAGTACAGTACTGTACTTATTGTAACGTATTTGATTGAAAGTACCAATGTGTAGTGATGGATCACCAAAAAGTTAACTTTTTGTATCACTGAATTTAACCGAAAGGGAAACTATTTTTTTTACCACAACATAAATATAAGATTAATCTAACATCTCCTAGCAGTTCTAGGCTTATTGCACACTATGTTAGGCCTAATGTAGCGCATATGTATGTGCTATACTAGGCCTAAGAATGTATATGTCTGGTGTTTAGCTTTATTTTTTCCAGGCTATAAAAATAAAACTGCGAAAGTGAACATTGTAGTGGTCCATCACTACATATTGGTACCTTCAACTAAAAAATTACTATAATTACTATCATTTCAGGAGTATGGGCTGGTAGATAATAAGTAATTAGATATAAATAACGACTAGGGATCGTAAATACTATCAAATAAAGTAAATAAAGTTGCATTTTAATTCCAAATTAAGTTTGATGAATGACTCGACCAAGAATAAGGAAGGCAGGACAGGGCTGTTAGTATTATGTAACTAATAAATAACAATACGGTAATACAAGAGTTAGCAATATCTGTACAACACAACTGTAGTATTATCTACTAAAAGCTATAGTATTATCTATCAGAATGGTCAAGTTTAACAAAATACAGGTGTTAGTATTATCTATCTGAGAGACAATTGTAATTTAATATAGATGTCAATATTGTCTATCTGAGAAACAGCTGTAATGCAATAGAGATTTTAATATTATCTATTTGAGAGGCAACTGTAATATAACAGAAGTGTTAATTCTATCTTTTAGGTAACAGAATATCTTGAGTAAACACTGGTCCTCAAACCGTACAATAATTGTAATACATGATGGCTCTAACATGTTGTGTTTAGACCGTGGAATACCAATTTATATGTATTGAATATGATCTGATGCAGCTTGTAATGTATTATATTTAATGCAAAAAGAGAAAATGAGAGAGTGCTAAGAATTTGTTGTATGATTTTGTACATACATACATACATGCATACTTACATATACATAGTATCATACTTTCTTACATAAATGGTTGTGTTCTCAATCAATTAAACCTATAAAATAAGTTGTATAAATTCCTTTATTGACTATAGGTGAATTGAACCATAATTTCAAACCTCACAACATATAATAAATACTGTAGTTTGTTATTTGTAGCCCTTGTAAACAATGTTTAAGTCAAATAATTTTTGTAATAGAATTTAGATACATTTTCTATTTTGAAATAAAGTTACCATTTTGGGAAACTGAAGTGGTATAGTCATAACATTAAACGTGCACCTCACGAGCAATTGAGTTTGGGTTCGATTTCTGGCTAGGGAGGATTGTCTGGGTGCTAATCCTTGACTGTTCACCCTCTGTTCACCCAGCAGTAATTGGATACCTTTTTATTAACTGAGTTGCATGTCATGTTCAAGGGAAAACCAGTGTGTGTAAGATTTTGTATGAGGTATAGGAAGGGAAAGCTCTCAGCCTGTTAACAGGAGTCAAAAGTCATCTGTACCTCTACCCACCTGACAAAGAAAAAATATATGAATGCATTAGCAGCTATAATTAACAAACAAATGCTTTTCTGAACATTCTTAAGTCAACGAAATCTGTTGTTAATATGTATAGAGTTAAGAAGGTTTAATTAGGCACCTTCCACAATAGTTGTGTTAATAGAACTTCTTTATGGTGGAGCGTATTTAAAAGTGTCTCCTTGACGTGCTTTGAGGTTCGAGAGTAAGCTCTTAAGCCACATATTTCAACCATCACTAGTTCAATGCAATGACTTATATCACCCATAATAAATACATATTTATGCATGTATTTACGAATCTTGTGCTGCATTTCTTCATGAAAATTTGTGGCTTATGTGTCACGGATTTTCATCTATGTGGCATTGTTTAGCTCCTTCTCAGTTTGATCAATTCTTGTCTGTCTACTTAGTGAAATCTTAAAAAAATTCCATGTGTTTATCTTATCTGTTTGTTCCTTCGGTTCTCCTAGTGTGGTGAGGTCCAATTTCCCAATGAACTACTGTATTACAGTTCAGTGTTCTTAGATCACGAACGAGCCTTGTTGCATAGGTTTAGAGGTTTTGCAGTTTCTTTAGGAGGGGTTTCCACTCAGGGGCAGCATAGTCACGAGGTGATGTTGCTTTGGTTGGGTATAACGTCCAGATTGTTCCTTTTAGCGTAAGACATTGTCCAGGTTAGCATATGCTGATGATACATTTTGTGCATGTGTGCCTGTGGTGTTAGAACTGGAGTTATGTCTAACACCCAGTCTTAGTCTTTTTCTGTAGAGGGAAGGTGACTTCTCTTTTACTGTATACTGTATTTCAGGAATTTTCACCCCTATTCTTATCCTCAAACTTGTTATTTGTTTGGCTTAAAATTACTTTTCAGCCCACTCCAAGAAACTTTCGTTCCTGCTATAACCCTTCAATGTCAAAATCTATACTGATAAGGAAGATTGAATTACCCTATCCTTCTCTTTTCGGTTTGAATTCTGTCTTGTGTGCATGTATGTTATGTATACTCACACAGAAATGCTTTCATGGTCGGGTATTAGCGCCTAGCCTCTCCTTCCAAACATTACATAATTTAGTGCAATGATTCATTACTCTTTTAATACATTTAAATTTATGTAATGCGTTATCTTCAACCACATTTTCGTCTAACCCATTCCCTTTATTCACAACTCTTAACACTGAAGAAGTTCTTTCCTGACATCTCTGGATCATTTGCATGTCTAGTTCCTACCTATGTCCTCTCGTTCTACTATTCCTAGTCCTGCCAATCGTCCATGCAATTGTATATGTCGTTATCATGTCCTCCCTATTCCTCCTCTCCTTTAGAGTTGTAAGATCCAGCTGACTCAGTCTATTAACGTAGCTCACTCCCCACAGTTCAGGAACGAAATATATTTAAATATTTTCTAGTATTGTTTTGTGATTTATTTCTGGTATGAGTGCCATGCTGGGCTGCATACTTAGAAGTGAGTCTCACATAAATTGTATTTATAACACAGAAGATCTCCTTTGTCTAGGTTCATGAAAGGCTACAGAGCGTTGGCCAGTTTGACAAAAGCCGCTGACATTGTTTGGTAAATGTGTGCTTCTAGCTAGAGATTTGGGGTAATGTATTCTTTTAAGTCCTTTCCCTTTTCTGATTCAGAAATCTATATCTCCTTCATTCAGTGCTGCTGTAAAACATTGAATAAAGAAGATTCACTCCTGTACCTATCCCAATACTGTAATTTAGTTAAAATCTTGCAGCCATTTTTCATACCACATTTGGAATGTGATAAGGTTTCGAAGTTCCTATTTGTTATTATTATCCTCATCATTATTTTTACGTAATAAGCAAACACTGATATAAAGGAGCTGTTTCCTATGTTAGGTTGTTGACTTTTACGAGAAATAACGTGCTCTATCTCCGACCTGTGTACATGCGATTCATTACAGCTCTTCAGTGATATCGCCTCTCTTAATGTAACCTTTGGCTTCCATGTTAGAGTTTATCCTTGCCCACTATAACACTCATCCAACTTTACTATTCTCTGAGTAGGAGTCTCATGTGTTGAAAGTCTGTTCATCATGCATCTGTGTGTTTGTGCATCAATATTTAGTGTGCCCAATCTTTTTTGGTCTTTGTCGTTGAGTCAAAGGCTTTTATCTAGTTTCTGGAGCAAAATTGGGTTTTAATTAATTCCTCTCATGGGCGGGGAGCTAAGCCCACCACAGTGCTTACTCCCCAACCAGTAAATATACTTTAGTCTTGAACATAATGACAGGTTTAACATAAATAGTCAGTGTATATGCACCTCTCGGTGAATATAACCCTTGTTTGTAGTGTTATGCTATAAATGACCTTCTTCCAATGTGTTCTACTAGCTTTTTTTTAACGATATTTAACATCATATATAAGTTAGCATTATATAAGTAACTCAACATTTGCTATTTAATTTAACACTTTTCTGAATCCTGTTAGGAAGTTTTCCCATCCTATAACTCGTCTGAAGCTTTACCTACTAGTTTTCCCCTGGAATACAACTCGCCAATCACTTTATAACTAGGATCCCTTTTATTGATTGGATAAATCCTAGTCAACTCCCTATGACTAGGGCTCGAAACAGACAGAAATCGCTCGTGAGAGTCCATTGGCTGTCTTTCAACGCTCTGGTAGTTGTTCGGTTTCCAGAGACTTGTTATATATAGAATAAGTTGATAATGCAGAAGAGAACACCTAACCATGACACTTAATACAGCTGTTCTCAAGTGAATTGAGACTTTAATGTAGAACACCAATTTATTAAATAAGCTAAAAAGAAGTGTTAAATATTATCTGAACAAGAAAAACAAAAACAGATTACCCAGCTCAAACAGCAAGACATGCAATGACATCCTAAACGGTTCATTCACATACACGTACATACACTTCCCGGCTTTGTGTCTTCTTTTGATAATTACTTACAAACAAAGAAATTGTGGAGGGTTGCGAAGGTGTTCCAATTTATCAAAAGGGTAATAGATTACTGCTGCCAAACTATTTGCCAATAAAGCTTATCGTGGCAAAATTGCTTGAATCAATGATCGGAAAACCCATTGCTATAAACGTCGAAAATCATAGATAAATTCTTCACAACATGCCTTTACGCTGGGCTCGTAACGTAATTTATACAAATTTGTTGATTAATTATGTTTCCTCTTTTCCAGCACTTTTAAAGCAGTTCATAGTGGAAATGTTGGTAACATTATGTACCTTGACATCAGTAATAATTTCAGTTTACCCGAATATACCTACGAGCCACTAACACTAGTGGCCCCGACGAAGACAGGAAGCCGGTTGTTTTGTGTAAGGTCTCCCCATTTCCCTTGATAATCTTTTCCAGTTGGACTTTAAAATGTAAGTTTTGGCAGTTACGGTTTCGGGGGGTAGGCGGTTCCATGGATGTATAACCTTGTGGGTGAAAAAGCATATCCTGTTCACAATCTTACTTGTAGCTTATTGAGCTTGAAACAGTTTCTCCTTGTTTGTGTTAACTAATGTGACTTTTTAAATAATTTGTCCAGTTCAACATTCTCCAAATGGTTCAGTATTTTAAGTTTCAATGAGATCCGCCCAGTCATGTCTGGTTTGCAGTGTTGTTAGCCGTGTGGCCCTCAACCGTTCCTAATACGCGAGTTGACTTAGCTCTGGAAGGATTTGTTTTGCCTGGTGTCGCACTCACCAGAGCAGCTATGTCCTTCTGAAGATGTTGTCTCCATGCTTTGATACAGTAGTCTAAATTGTACACTAATGACTTTAAATATATGTTTTCTAACATCCCTATAGGTCATCTGCATTTTTTATATTAACTTGCCCCTTCTTGCTTATATAATATAATTGTATGATATTTAAGATATCATACAATTATATTATATAAATTCTATTATATATAGATGAGAATCTACAGAGTACTGTATACAATACCTTAAGATTCTCAAAGAATTTGTTTACCTTTTCTAGTGAGATTTAGTCGCCATTAACCTACCACATTCCGGTAACTAAATCCTTACAGTTCACTGGCAGGTCTCATAGCAATCTTTTGGATATTTTCCAGTTATCTTCTTCGTATTAGGAGAAATCTACAAAATGCCACTGTATTCCTACACTGGTCTCACAGGTTATCACTGTGTCTCACTGTGTTATCCTACACTTGTCTTAAAGTGCTGGTTCTGTATTTCTGAACTGATCTCACAATTTATGTATGGTGCTCGCAAATTAAATTGGCTGGTCAGATACATTTTTGCATATAAATAATACCAATGGTCGAAAGACCTGAATTTAGTCAATACGTTGACGTATGGTGAGTTGGGAGGTCATTCTGGGAGCGCACACATTAGCGTTTTCTATTAAAGAGATTATCCAGGTGGTTGGTTTTGCAAAAGGACCTAAGCCATTGGAGTGGGAATGGCTGCTAGAGTTCAATCCCAGCAAGTGTATGACAATGAACATGGGAGAGAGATATTTTATGTAGAAACCCACGAGTCCCATTAAACGCTTTATTGTCCTCTATAAGATCCGATGAGTTATATTAGCTCTGAAGGATTATATCACTCACTATTAGCCATGTAGAATATCCTGAAACCTGATATTAGTTCTGCCGAATTATTTGTCATTATATGCACTATAGATTCCAGTTAGACCCCATTAGGGCCGTAGGATCCTGTAACACTTTTTAACAATAGGGTAGGAGCCTGCGAGATCCATCTAACAGCATTAGAAGCCTATGTGACTA